GGAAATGTAAAATCTGATGCACAGACTCTGGAATTTCACAAGTATTATGGACAAAGGTGTGAATCTACCTGAAAGTATCATTCTTTCCCTTAATACATTTATTGATTCTAAATCTAAGTGTTTTGTGTATTTACTAGTATTTCCTATCATTCAGTGGTGCTTTTATAGCACAAGACAACTAGAGATACTGAAAACTCTTTGCACTAGAAATGGAATCTTCAAGGTCAATAAAGTTCTGCAGATACCGTTTATTTTTAGTAGAAGACATTCTTCTTTGATGAATTCTGTGTATAATCACCAGCAGTAAGCACAGTGAAGTAGTTTTTAAGAACCGTTGAATCTTTTTCTAATGAATTAGCAATAATAATTTATTGATGTCTTAGGGACAGTAGAGATCTGTTCAGATGGGAGTTACTGCTCCTCAATGATTTCTTTCTGATGGTGTAATGTTGTAAACATATAGTAGGTAAAATGTAAGTTAGTGGCACTAAAATTTTATCCACTCAGAGTAACTGAAAAAAATAATAAACACAATACTTTTGGGGTTGGGCACTGGATTGGAATGCATGAATGACATAATTAGAAAGCGTTACTAAAAAGTGAATTGACACTAAGAAGTTTGAACTGGGTCCAGTGCTGTCGAAGAAACTGGATTTGCGATAATGATAATTTTGATGAGAGATAAGATAACGTGAAGTGGATTGAATTGACCGAATGAGGATTATTACGACCAAGATGAAATATGGTGTTTAACAATGTCTTTTTGAACGATTTGTTGAGGGATTTCTTTCATATATATCGTTTCAGTAACACACAGGTTTGGAAATGTCATCTTTTCGACTGAAATGCGTGTAATAGTCAGGACAAATTCAAGACATCAATCATTAGTCTTTTGTAACCTGTCTCTTGTTTATGCTTTTATATGTTGTTTTGCAGAATATGTACTTTTAAATCTCATAATATAAATATTTCTGGTGGTTTGTTTTTCACAGAGCGCTACAGTATTTATTTTAGTGCCTTAGTTCCTTGATTTTATTTTATTTTTTTTTTGATATCTGCAGCATTATATGCAATTTTCTACAGCTTTTAGGTAAATGTTCTATTTCTATAGAAAGAAAATAAGATATTATGAAAGTGCAAACCTTTTCTTATTATTTATCAACCCATGTTTTTTTGTTAAATAATATCACATGCAAGTTCATCGTGTTTGCAGTATATTGCTAAACGTCTTTTTGAAATGTGTGCATATTGTTTGATAGGCTTTCATTCAGGCGACGGTAATTACACCTTGGCATTTGGGGAATAATTATCATGCGAAATTTAGAGAAATTGTATGTGTTTATCTTGAGGATCATTGATACTCTTAAGTAAGAATTAAGTTTGGAGGTCTTAATAAGTTATTTTTCCTCACTATAAGTTGGAAATAGTGCTATGTATCAATTTACGGTAAAAATAAGCTTACTATAGATCATATGTATCGAAACATTTAGTAATAAAAGTATTTGAATTCCACTTTAGTTATTACAAAGAGGGTCTCACTGGGGTCAGATAAAAATAGCAGCTCATTAAGTAATAGCTGTAAGTTTTCCACTGAAGATGACAATTCTCATCACAAGGAGACTTCATATTTTTGAAGGATTTGAATCCAGCTTATCTTTCTTATTATCTGTGTGTTTTCTACATTTCTGTCAGTTAAACTAATAATCCAAAGTGACCATTTTTATTATTTAACCGTTAGGTATCAGATATTTCACACTGTAACGCTTCGCTGAACTGAATATTTTCATATGACTAGGTCATAATAACAATCGCCTTATTTCAAACGACAATTTTGCACAGAATGACAATGGGAATTTTCAGTATTTTCATATTGCAACAAATTTACTTCTTTTACAAATAAAATCAAAAGATCTATTCACGAAATTTGCAGTTTGTACTAATTTAGGGACAGTTTTTTGATTTATTTTGCTGTGCTTCATTTCTCCTTTTCATCCTATACAAAGTTGTCTGTTGAATTTACGGGAAACACTAAAATTCCTTAGGTTGGAATGTTTTTACAAATTTGCCAGTGAAACATATTTTTCATTGAAAACAGTCTATCCCTTTAATGAATCTCGACAGCACTATTAAATGATGGGCTTTATATTTTAGCATGCCCCCGTGTTGCTTTTTTATAGATATGTTAATATGTTATCATGTTGTTCGAAATGCACTGCTCAATTACATAACATTTTTAAGAATAAGTCTGTCTTTCAACAACGTCATCTAATCACCTTTAGTTGATGAAAACAAAAAAGGGATTATCCAAGTTAACACCTGTTTGATGGATGAAGGTAGTCTGGTCAATTCAAGTTCAAGTGGGCCTCATTTTTGTTATGATTGACGAATTAATGTCAAGATGTTTGATATTTTCGAACACAAACTTGTTAATTTACTAGGCTATGTGGCTGAAACAGTTACTCAGTATAATTTAGATTCGAAACGAATATTATTTATAGAGAGATATAACTACGGCGATTTTAGACTGTCAGTACCTATTTTTATTTATTCCTTTACGTTCCCAGTGGAACATAGGGCTTCAACATAGAGCTTTGAAGTTTATTTAGGAGTGGTGTTTCCTTTTACGAGAAGTGTTGCTAGCCTCATGCCAAATCTTCCCTCTTTACCGGCTTGGGGAGGTGAAGAAGTACGTCGGTTGGGGATCGAACCCTGGACCACACGTGTGGTTGGAGAGCATTCTACCGCAGAATCACCGATGCACTCAATACCTATTTAATACTTTTTAATCAACATTTATAAGTTATATGTAGCAAAACTTGTGTTTAATAATAAGCCTATAACGTACATATGAATGAAGAAAACTTTTGACTGTATATATTTATTGAAGTACTATCCCATTTTTCAAAATAGTTCGGTTATAATCTTGTGGACTTGTCGTATGTCAGTATTATTTGTTTTCCAAAAAGTGATACTGACTTAACCGACACGTAAACTTTACATAATTTATATTTCATAGAAAAGACAGAGAAAAACAGTTTCTTTTTCTGTTGAGACTATCTGAAGTTGTCATGAATTTTACGCTTTACTCAGTTTGTGTAGTGTATTCAAACAAAGAAATATGTTTCAGTATATCTAGTATCAGTTATTATTTTTAATCCAGAAGCTCAAAAAAGTGAGCAGGTCTGTCCATCAGTGCGTGTGTGTGTTATTTTATGATGCAAAAGTAAGCAACAATTCACTAAATCACTAAGATACGTATAAAAATAAGTTCACTATGAGGAATTATCTATTTCCGAGTTGAATGGCTCCAAGTATCACTTAAATTCTACTAGGTTTTTTAATGCTTCATGAACCATAGAAATTTTCATTATTATAGATAGCCATATATAGTTATTTTTGGGTGCACATTGACGATAATTTGTTAGTCTAATGTAGATTTATTTCATTTTAGTGTTGTTTAAATCACCATCTGATACCCAGTGAACATAGACCGGCTTACTGATTTTAATTTTGAATTCTTAAAGGATACGTTTCAATACTTAGTGAGGGACTAACCATAAGATCGTCAGTTTATGATACCAGATCATTCACTCAGATAACTCGCTGAAATTCAATGGTTTAATATTTCCAGTATGTAATGTAGCGTTACCGTCCTCCTCTTACATTGAAAAGTATCCTTCCTTATTTTCAGATGAGTAAACCAAAAAAATCATATACTACCACCAGAAATTTGGAATTTTTCTCTTGATGTCATTTATTAAGGAATATTGGATGGAAATTAAATTTTTCCACTCATTTTAAAGATCAGTTTCGCCCCAATATACAAGTCATTAATAAACTATAATGAAACCACAGTAAGGAATCAAATACTTAGATGATAACTATGTAATAAAAAATGCTGAATTGGAATACAGCTTAATCAACGTCATATTCATAGACGTAAAAGCCACAAGAAGGTGGAAATCTCCAAACAGCCTGGTGATTTTAGATATAATGTTCACTTTAAAAGAAGATGGGCGCATACGGGCATAGGTTTTTTCGTAGTTGCCTTACATAAAAAAAACCTTCTATTACGACAGGAATCATCTAAAAAACAAAATAATCTACCGTATTATAAGTGAAATAAAAACAAGAGGGAAAGCTATCTACTAATATTATTTAAGAAACTGAAGTTTCTAAAGATTTACCAAGAAGCGACCATCTAGTTCTACAATCAGTGAATAGTTCATTAGAATATGCAGGATTGATAGTACCTCAGAAATGGTAGCCAAATTACTACAATCTCAAGGTTAGGACTCATTTAATCAACGCATGTAGACTATCTAAAGATTCTTCTGCAACAAAGGGTCATTCAGCCGAAAAAGAAATTTGACGATCATTGTATAGCACAACCGAACGTTAGATTCTTGACAAGGCATCTGTGAATATAACACGGCCGTTAGATGTCATAAAGGGGGAATCTTGAGATAGTAAAACTAGCCATTTTAAAGACAAAGAAAGAACTCCTGGAAGCATGGGATGGAAATGAATTGTCAACCAATAGAAACGAAAACTCTAAATACAGTTGTAAAGAAATCTAGAAATGTATGCTAAACTTGTTCCTAACCTAAGATATTGACAAAGTACAGTTAAATTTAGCCTAAATGCTGTGGAAAGTAGCAAAAACAATTAAAAATAACTTTGTAAAGAAATAGTGAAGGCTACTAATTGGTCATGATTAGATTGAGGCTGGTTAACGTAAAACCAGTGAGGTCTTTTAAAACAGATTTCATGTACTAACATCAGTTAAATAACTACTGAAAACGAGGGGTGATTAGGAAGTGGTTTAGTCCTACTTTGGGACTTTTCAACAGTGCCGACATGAAACCCTAGAAAGGAAGCAATTCAGGTCCTTGTTGCGGCTGTATTTGTACACTTCTGAAGAGTTCCAGACTACAATGAAAGAAATGTCTGATATTCCCTCTTTTTTAGTGGTTTTCTAACTCATGTTTGATCATGAGTTGCTAATGATGTATGTGAAACCAAATAAAAATAAAAACAAAGAATAAGTAAAATTCTATGAAACAGGAGAAACAAGAAACATCAGTCCCGTCCACAGTCATCCAGAACCGTTCTCAATATTAAGCCTGACGACGACAACTAAACAATAAGAGCCAGGGAAAAAGATTCAGTGTTACGCAACCTGCATCATCATAGTTAACTTCACTTTCTACTAGCTTTATCGAGTAAACACATTTTGTGCAATCTTTGTAATTCTATCTTCGATTTTGTTTATTTCTTTTTCAAAAATGTTGAGGGCTTAGAATAAGTTCCGTTACCTGATGGTGCAAAAATAAGGAAAAAATAGAAGAGTCGACGAGCTGTGGTCTTTCTAGAATTGTTTACAGCCAGAACATTAACTTTCATTTAGGTTCCACTAATTTATGTAAGGCTCAAAATATATGTTACATTCGGTGAATGTTAATATTCACTTTGCTTTACATTTTATTTTAGAAAGAAAGTTCATAAGAACATTTATTTCCCATTTTATGCGAAAAGAGTGGTACACAGGTAGAGTATATCATTGTGAAATTATTTGTTTTTTTAATAAAATTCGGTTCCCTATTCTACATGATTTATGTTCGTAATCTTCACAAATTATATCAGTATAAAAACGGAAAAGTAACCATATTGAATTTATACGAAATTCAGAGGTATCTGATATTAAAGTGTCTCACTTGAAATAATGGTGAACATTTGTAACCGAGGAGGATGTTTTGATGCGAATTTATTCTCTGAGCTAAATGGTTTAGCTGTAAAGACATTATTATCTTTCTACATAACATCTTCAGCACTTACCTTACTTGAATACATGAATGTATTATACATGTAAAAGAGATGAACAAGTAGTTGAGCCACTAGTCTCTTTGGGTTATAAAAGTTCAGTTTTGTAGAGTTTTTGCTGAGATTGTACAATGGTAACATAACGAAAAATATCATTCTTGTCATAAATTGGTCAAAATTTGAAGGATACGTGTGAGTGATGCAGACAGATCAAAAATGTAACTGAAAAAGTATGGGAACTAGTAGGTGTGTATGAGTAGCTGAGTAATAATGGTTGATTGTTTGGGAAATTAGATGTTTCAGAGAAGGTAGAGAAGGAAATACCATAGTAATAACAGCTTTATTTTGGACGAAATGTTTAAACACAGTACAGAATTCGCAGCACATTTTATTGCATAAAATTCACACTTCGTCTAGGGTCTTCAAGTAATATAGCAATCGACAGTGTATCGTGTGACTCAGCACCATTCGATATGAAGCCAAATCCACTCCCTAATGAGATTTCTCCTTCATCTCAAAGAAATGCTCAGAATTAAATTCAGTTAAAAATGTGCGTGAGTACATTTTGCTAACCAGAAATATAACTGGGTAGTTAAAACACAAAGAAATGGAGGAAATCTGATGCATTTAGTTAGGTGAAAATTTTAGTAGCGCAGTGATTTAAGTAGGCCGCCAAAATTCGATGATGAATGATTATCACATAAGCGGTAAACAAAACCAAATAGAGATAGATAATTACAGTGTTAGTGAATAATACTATGCAAACATTAAAAGTGCAGAGACACTTGTTTCTGCAGATTATGTTATTTATCCCTTTTCATAAAGTATTCTTGCCTCATTGGCCTCACTGTGAGGTGTAGTATGTTATCATTTTCTCTAATTACATATAAATCCTATTTCCACTATGAATTTCTCTCAGTTTCATTTTCTGCTGTTATCTTATTATTAATAAGCATAAGGAGATAAAACGTTAAATCTTAAGTAGCACAATAGAAATTATCTCACTTTGTATGTTTCATCAATCCTATTGAAAAACTGACTTCAATTGTCCATAATTAGAAAAATGATAATTATGAAGCAGGTGGATAAAACTATTTTTGTAGATGTAGTAATTGTTTACTAAGGTGAATAAAGTAACTTCCAATGCTAATTGCTGACCAAGAGATATAATGTGTTCCTGATTTTACTGTATGAATGCATCACTGGTGTCCTAGCAAAAAAAATTGAAACTACTGATTCGAGAGTACTAGTAGTAAAGCAACTGTTTTCCAGACTACTTGAATAAGGCAGCTGTTTATTTTTTTCTCTGCTTATTTTCAGTAATCCAGCTGAGATGATTTAAAGACCTAGCTGCCTAGCGTGCAACTGAACAAACCACCTTCGGCTCTAATATTCTTCATGATTAGGCGTTAATTAGAAAAAAAATGAAATACCCAATCTGAGTTACATACAAATTCTAAATAATTGTGTACCAACAGCAGGAAACATCTCTGTTCAAAAAGAACCTCGTGTAAAATACTTTTACTATCATCTGTAATATCTAACTTTAGTGTTATATTTTATTTTTTATATTGCCAATTCCAGATAATAACATTAAAACGTTTATTTTTGGCATAAAAAGAGAAATTTTAGATGCATATATATATCCTGGTGAAAATGAGGATAGGGTAGAAGGAAGTAGTTGATGAAATTTCCGTCAAACAACGTGATCCCTTTGCCTTTCCCTTTGCCTTAGTAATGAATTATTCCTTGGTTTGACTGCTTAACGGAAAGTATTTCAGCATTTCTTTCAAATTGCACATGGCGTTTAGAAATGAAGTACCAAAGTTATCGTCTTTTAGTGTTATTTTCACTCTACCAATGCAGATTTATATATAGACACGTAAATTATAAAATATAATCGAAGTGATTTTGGAAAATTTAATGCAAATATAGAAGAGGTAATTTACAGCTCTGAATACTCCACTTGGAGATATAATCTTTGAGTAAAAATGATAATTTATTCCCTTTTTGAGATTCCATTTCTTATTAAGATTAATAGAGAATCTGAGGTTAATATTCAAATATATATTAAACTAGATGTTCAGAGCTTTTACCTTATTTCTTCTCTTGGCTTACATTTCGACCGTCGAACTGTCGTAATAAAACTACATAATGAATAATTTAATAGATTCTTTGTATTACGTCCCTCCAACTTTCTTGTTTTATGTAATGCTAGTTAATAAATGTGGAATAAATCGTACTGGTGAAATGAGAATTTCATAGAACAGTCCTATTTTTTCCATAGAATTAAGTAATACGATTAATTTTCAAGAATTGATTTGTAAGGATTAAATTTGTTTATACAAGCTCAACCATGGATTGATATCATTATAGGTTTCCAGGCCGTAGGTGTTACGAACTTCCTGGAATAATTTGAGTGCCGAGTCAGATTGATTCATTATAAATTATTTAAATTAATCCCAGCGTGTTAAGAAAATCAAAACATGATTTTTCTGAACGTTTCGCCACAGCTTCTTCAGTAGATTTATTCGGATTTTTATTAATCATCAAAATATATAGTCAAAGAATTTTACATAAATTGAAGTCAATTTATTTGAAGGTCATTTGTCTATGGACATTTTTACCAATAGAAATATGTAAACAGTCATCACATATATTTGTAATGACTAATATCAAATTGTTGTTGTGTCTACTCTTCTATAGTTGATTTATAAAGATTAGTTTTGTATGAGTGTGTGTGTATTTATGTTATTTGCCATGTGGAAAATACGTGAATTCATATGTGATAAACATGATACTACATGTTTTGAAAGGTCATGGAGGCTCATAGAGTGTTTGTTGTCTTTTCATCTGTTATGCTTCATAAGAGTTTGCCATATAGGTGATAAGTTTATCCCATCTTTCCCATTCACTGCATTCGAAGTGGTTAAAATGTGCAAGGCTTCAGAAGTCAATCTTTCTTTATGTGAATGAAATCCTCTTCCAAAAATTTCGACGTTGTCGAAATCAATCTTATGTCCGCTGTCTATCGCATGCATTGCTATAGCCGATCTTTTTTCTAGACTTTTTAGTTCTACTTCATTTTTAGGTGGACGTTTCGTGCAAAGTCTATGTTCATTCACTCTGACCTTCACCTGCCTACTGCTCTCCCCTATATAGCATGCATCACATTCTGAACACATTATCTTGTAGACACAATTACTTTGTGACATTTTGGGAACTATATCTTTGACATGCACCAGCGCTTTCTCCAGAGAATTAGAAGGTTTAACATAGACTTTAATATTATATGAGGCAAATAGTCTTTGAAGTTGTTCAGCTGTGTCCTTTCGATATAGGATGGCTATTGTGGACAGCCAGGATTTTTCAATTTTCTGTTTTCCCTTATGCTCCTTTTTATTGATAATATTATCTAGTAGCTTTTCAGGATAACCATTTCCAATCAAAATCTGTTTTATGTTGGATATCTCGTTCTCCATATCGTCATTATCTGTTATAATGTTTCTAGCTCTGTTAACGAGATTTAAAGCTACTGAAACTTTCATTTCTACTGGATGATCTGATTGGAAATTCAAATACTTATTGGAATGTGTCGGTTTTCAGTATATGGTAAACTCTAGTTTCTCGTCAGTTTGTCTTTTTACAAGACAATCAAGAAAGTTTATAGTTCCCTCAGCCGATTCTATTTCATTGGTAAACTTAATATATTCTGAGATTAAGTTAATTTCTGTTGGAAAGTTTTGGATTGATATCAGTTAGAGAACCACTGAAAGCCAGGGAGTACTGGACAGTTATTTCATCCTAGTTTGGGAATCATCGCCAGTACTCTCTGGTTTTCAGTGGTTCTCTAACTGATATCAATCCGTGGGCAAACTCATAATATGATTAAGAAAAGGGGGTAATACCACAAAACGAAGTTTTGATAAAATCTATTCATTCTAATGAGTATGTTCCTATAACATAAATCATCTATGATTGGGATAATTTATTAGCGAAATAGTAGGCATTACATAAAATCAATCAATCAAGTCGTTTTTTTTATGCAAGTTGCTCATGAGGATAAAATTCATTATGTCAGAAACCCATCAACCAAAATATTTCCGGATAAAAATGTCTAGATAAAAGTATAAATTTTCATTCATCTCACCATTTTTAATGATTGCTCTCATGTAATCTGAAGTGGTTATATGATTATATCTCAGTAAAAGTCAAGATACCACTAGTTAATTAAACACAGTACTAAATAAATGAAAGGTATCTTTCAGGCAGCAGTTGAAAATTACTTCTGCAGGTGAACAAATAGGTAAAATATATTTATGCTACATGAATAATGGATACAGATATTTTCTCTTAAGAAGCTCATGAACATATAACTTTGAAATTTAAAACTATATGCCTTAATGAAACATGTTCTTTCCAGGTTCTTAACTATGAAGTAAAACTTATTGTCATTATTATGATAACCAGATACAAAGATGACACTATTTTTAGCATAGAACATGATTTCAGGTTTAAAATCAAGTGAGTTAGAACCGTAAGACAACAGGATATAATAGTATTTACGTGATAAACGTGGTTAGTCGAATGTATTTGAAAAATGGTGTGAATTTGTGTAATGATGATGATTGTTATGACAGTAGCTCACTATAAATCTATACAATGTGTAGAACGGAAAAGTAACCTGTTTCAAGGTTTTTGAACTTGTTTAGTCAGTTGCTCGTCCAAAGTAAGCAAAAGATGGTTTGACTGGAGCAAAGATTTCACTGAGAAGTTATTATTATCATTGAAATTGAATCAAGTGGAATCATACAAATTACAAAAAAGATGCCGCCGTATGTGGACAGAAATGTTTAGACGATATACTCATGGTCATCGGAAATGTTTTAGGTAACAAATTGGGTATCCAGACAATTTTATATAGGCTAACATAACTTATAACAGTTGTAAATATGATCTGGTAACTATGTAGAAAAGGCCTTAATTTTTGCATCTACAACTCAAGGGAGATATGCCTCCGGATATTCTGTCACAAACACAGTGATAAAGAAGGCCTCCTTTTCCTTATAACAATTATTCAGATCCTTCATTAGCTATCAAATATTCACCGCAAAACTCAAAGAAAATTCACCTCGTGTATATATCAAATCATTTGTCTCTGTGGATAAAGTAAAATTAAGTGGGCCCGTCTCCAAATCCAGGAAAATCTGCTTTCTTAGTCCACAAAGGTTAAAATTAATTCCAAAAGTAAATGGCTCTGTTCGTTCTAGCACTTTGTGCGTTGATGGTTACACGGTAGAATGCTGGCCAAGCATGTTCGTGTTTCGGGTTCAGTGTTCGGCCGATACACTTCTAAAACCTTTCTCAGCCAGTAGTAAGTTGGGTAAAGACCAAAAGTTAGACATGAGGCGAGCAAATCTACCTCGTAAAATCAACACCACCGCCACTGAAACCTCTAGCTATATGTTCCACTCATAACTCAAAGGAATGAAACGAAATCCTAGCAGACTTAGTAAACACCATTAAATTACTGTTTTTACACTCTTTTGTTTTGATTTTGGTCCTCGTCCTTCACTCATGTCAATAAAGAAGACGCAACCCTATCAAATTCCTGGTTAAAATAGTAGTCTTTTCATGATTTCACTTTCAGGGATTAGATGACGTTATGTGAGCTAAACATCGAGGTATATATATATATATAAATGCGAAATGCTTTATTAACGACAAAGGTGTTGTAACGCACATATACTTAAGTATTGTAAATTAGACTGCTTCTGCAGACAGTTCCATTAAACAATTATTAATATAATATGTAAAGTGAATATCCAAGCAGGTGCTAAGTGAATCATTTTAGTAATGAACAAATAATTAAATGATTATGCATTAAATCATAAAAGGCACTTTACATTACAATGGTAGGGGATTGTAAACTAGTATTTTGGTTAGTGACTGGTACATATGAGGAGTGATGTTTTGTGTTGCAGGATTTCATCATGAGCTGACATAGGATAGAGAACCATTGGAAAACCTGGGCTTACTGGACAGCTGTTTCGTCCTAGTTTATGACTCTCCAGTGGTACACACCCACCGGGATTCGAGTCCAGGACCTTGTGGTTACAAGGTGAGCCCGTAGACCATTAAGCCACGGGGACCCGATCCAATGGCCAGCCCATGAATTCCAACTTCTGCCAATTCACGACATAGCGTGACCACTAGCCAGTGTCTTCAGCGAGTATTTATCCTCATACCCGACCTGCTGTACCCTGCTGGTCACGACTTCTTACTAGAACCCCAGGTAACTACCTACCTGGTCTACGAGCTCGCCTTGTGACCGGAAGGTCCTATGTTCGAACCCTGGCGGTGGGTGCGTACTGCTGAAGACTCCCGAACTAGGCTGAGAAAACAGCTGTCCAGTACTCCCAGGTTTTCCAATGGTTCTCTAACCAATGTCAGCTCATGATGAAATCCTATAACCAGTCGAATCCCTACAAACCAACACTTGAATGTTTTGTGTTGCTTTCGTGGTTTTACAACGTTAAATTTTAGTCAGATTGGTATGATAGCAGCTAGATAACTATTTACATATTTTAACTGCATTCTTTATTAACAGCACATTAACTAGTCCACAGTAAGATGTGATTATAAGTTGTACATTGCCCTTCGTTTTACTCTTTTCTCATCAGTGATTTCGTATAAAGTGTACCTAGATTAATGGTTTAATATGATTTTTAATATGTAATTTATAACTTCCAGTCTTCTTCATGTTATGAATTATTTTGCATTTTAAAGGATAGATGGTGACTTTATGGACTCAACCAAATAAAAAATCTCTTCCCCTCTGCTGCGATTTGAAATTTCATGAAGATGAATAATTTATTTCTAGTATTTTCGCTTATAAGTCAACTATTTCTCTGTCAAATTTCTGCACACGACATCCCACACCTTGCATCACACACAAATTCAACCTCTCTTAATGATATAGAATGGATAGAAAGTACTTTAGAAGCTGAAATACAAAAATTACTCCTCACTTATGTTCGTACCGAGCGACCAAGAAATAAACTATTAATGAGTACTAGCAATGTTTCAGAAGTCAAGTCTAATCAAAATTTGTACACAGGACCATTGATTGTTGAAGTCAATACATTTATTCATAGTTTCAGTTCAATTAGTGTGGTTAACATGGATTTCACAGTGGACTTTATGTTACGTCAGCGATGGTTGGATACACGACTTAAAATTCCTGGCAAACATAAATTTACTCACCTGCCTATATCATATGCAAAGAATTCAATATGGATACCAGATTTGTTTTTTCGTAATGCTAAACATGGATTTCTGCATGATATGACTACACCGAATTACTTGATTTGGATTGATTCTGATGGTTTGATAACATTTAGTCAAAAGATTTCTATGAAACTGTCATGTCATATGATCTTGCATACATTTCCATTTGATACTCAACATTGTACAATGAATATTGGCAGTTATGGTTATTCGAAAAGTGATTTAGACTTTCGTTGGTGGAATGCAGATGGATATGATCAATTCGGTACAATACCAACGTCAAATAAGTCGAAACAAATGGCTGTACAAATACGTTCTGGATTAGAAATTAATGAATTTGATTTATTATCTTACGAGACAAACTACTGCAATATGGAGTACTCAACTACTGGACAATTCTCATGTTTAGAAGCTGTATTTTACTTAAAACGACGTTTCGGTTTCTACCTTATTTATGCCTATTTACCATCACTTCTTCTTGTCATCATAGCTTGGCTGTCGTTCTTTGTGGATTATGAAGCTGTACCAGCACGAATTTCCATAGGACTACTGTGTGTTTTAGCTTTAATAACACAAAGTGCAGCAATCCTAACTCAAGTTCCACGTGTTTCTTATACCAAGGGTATTGACATTTGGTTATTTGTGTGCTTAGCGTTTGTTGTAAGTTCTTTGCTTGAATTTGCCATCGCCAACTCTTTGGCTAGAAAGAGAATAAAACCTGCTACTTCAGACATTGTAAAATATGTTGGGAAAGATTGTATGGTTTTAACTACATGTGATGCTTTATCAGAATTTCTCAGCAAACAGAATAACCAGATAACTAATCGCAATTCAAACGATGACAAAAGTGATTTAAAACCATTTAATAATGAAACTGAATGTTCACAAAGTTTAATTAATTCGCCTGAACTAAATACCTCGAAAAGAAGTGAAGTTCGTTCATGGGATTCATCACCCATAAGTTGTCATCAGAAACTGATAACTTTGAGTTATAAAAGCACATCTTTAAAAAAACCATCAGTTGATAAATCATTCTTTTTAGATCGTGCATGGGCAATTATTTATCCTATTATATTTGGCATATTCAATGCAATTTATTGGATATACTTTCTGAAGTATCAGTAAATGTTAATAAGATAGATTTAAGCGCTATGTCATTTAAAAGATTAATCTACAAATATTGTTGTTGGATGAAGACAGTTTTGAATAATTTATCTATGTATCAGTATGTAACAGTGTATTTTGTACGATATTTAAAAAAAGCGGAATAATTTATTCACAAAGAACAAGTTTTCTGTAGTCAGAAAATCCCTTTAAATTAGTGGGAAACTTTGAAACACATAAACTTATTTTCAACCTTCAAACTTCACGTATAATCCTCATCTCATAAAACAAAACAGTTTGGTTCACTTGACTTGATGTAAAGCACATGAGTATTCTTTGTAAACCGATTGCTAATCACGTCATTCAAATTCTACATCAAATTAACGACAATGTTTTGATTTAATTCTGATTAATTTTGAATTGTGTATAAGACATTTAATCTAACTGTTCATGAACTTCTACACCATCCTGAGATTTTAATCAAGAAAGAAATAAGCACAAAACGTTAACCAATCTTCAGTTAATTTCACAAATATAAACAGTAACTGAATGTCCCAGAAGCCATTCATATTTCTTATTGTTTCATTTTCCCTAAGTGCATTTATTATAATTCACAGTGATCGAGTCTTATTAATGTCAATGTCATTTAGAGCACAGTTTATTGTTCCTGAACATATCAAGAAAAACCTAATGATTTCATAACTTCCTATGGAATTGTGCTAATCCATTTTGTATTTTGTTAATAATACAATTTAATCGTTATCTAATATTGGTATTGAATCATTCTTGCTGTACATGCTATGTGCTTATTTGATAAATAAAGTTTAAGTTATATATACGTCTATCTTCATCTCTTCTTATTAGATTTAGAATTTTCAGTACATATGCATCAGTACTGAAAGTTTTCTTCAGAATTATCATCACAGCATCTGTAATCAAGATGTAGCCAAATACCTAAATTCCTTAGAACCTACATGACATAGATAAACCTGATGAAACTATTTTTCGTTATCAAGGTGACTACATGTCATTTGATAAGTTGAATGATGTTTTTCAGTATCTTATCGTGGAATGTTTAAGTATTTCAAGTTTATTTTTGAGTGTATGTGTAGGTTTTCCCGCTGAATTGTAGCCTAGGGTGTGTGACTGCAGTGATTCAATATTAATATCAAGTGAGTGAAAATACTACTATCACTAAAGCAGAAAGTGGAACAGGGATAAAAGTTGTTTGTTTACCTTATTTTTCAATAATGATTGAGAATAATGTATTTGGTGAATTCAACAAAGATGTTGATAAATTAAATTAACACTAACGAAATTTTAATCATACAAGTGTGCTTACTGCCATCTGCTGTAATACACCATCTTATTCCAGTTGATGAATGGTGGTCACATGAATAAACTAATGACAGAGTGATGGCCTTGATTTGGGTTGACATAATTTCCATTTTTCAAGGAAAATATCAGTTTCATTAATTAAGAATCGATGGCTTCAGAGCATATTCTTAAGTGGCTTCAGAAGCAAACAGAATCCCCAGGACCCATCAATGGTGAGAACAAGAGACCTAGCTCCTCCATTGCGAAACATATTATAGAGACAGGACATAAAATTTATGTTTACACGTCTTTTAAACCTATCTATAAAACGTGTTTGGATTGTATCCTAAAGTTTGTGGAAGCCCTAGCTGGCAATTAGGAAGTTTAAACCACCTTTATGCATTCAAAAACAATTGGTCATCACACTAAACCTTCCTTGGTAAACTTTGTTTTGATACTATTACCTCTGTTATTTAGCTGAGTGATCTTCATTGTTATTTTGACCTTCAGTATGTCCTTTCAACTTGACCTGAGTCTATTTGCTCACCTCTTAACTCTTTATTAATTTCATATATATTCCTATGAGTAGTCCGAGTGTGATCAGATTGTTCGAAATGTGTTGCGCAAATACATTACACTATTCAGACAAATTACGTATTCTTACTGCTTTGTCTAAAATGCATGGTTTGTTGGTGAAATCTAAGATGCGAAAAACAAAAGTCAAACAGGGATTTATGACTAACTACTTACTAGTAGTATTAAATTACAATTACCTAACCACGTGACAAATTCCAAGGAGTCTTCATTCATAATGTTTGCTATCTGGTGAAATATTTATATGAATTTATCTACTTCTGAAGCAAAAGAAACTGATCCTCGGCAGTCACATCAACTTACTGAATAAGCATTAATTATCGAAACGGTATCTAGGCATCTCTTGGCTGTTTATCATCTTTAGTGGCCCAACATGATAAAAGCAGGACCAGTATTTTGTGAAACAGTCTTCTGGTTATTCTCTAATTATATTCTGATTAAGTATTAACTCTACGATTGAAAATCAGAAACCACATCTGCGAGGTGTAAACAGATTAGCTTTACTAATTAAGCATTGATAGGTTAGAGAATAATATGCCATTCAGGCTTTTAAAGGCTTTGTTCAAATTGCTGTTTACATTTTCGTGACCTCCATTTTCTTGTCATGTGTGTACTACTTATTTAACTACCGTTCCAAACTTATCTTAATATGCAAATTGAAAGGTTATAGACTGGACAAACTACAAATCAGTGATCAATTATGCAGTCTCTCTGATGATTAGTAAATCTGGATTTGAAATAATTATAGTTTTAGCTCAAGTGATCAACAGTTACCTTTTCAGAAAGACACACTACTCGACCTGGTAAAAATAGAGTTACATTTGTAGGTTTATCAGTCAACAAACACCCACTCGATATCCCTACAAATTAAGATCTTGTTCTTCAGCTTTTTGGTTTGCATTGGGTATATACGTACTTTATTTGCTCAGCTGTATGAGGTCAATCGGGGGAGGGGTGCATCTTACAGGACTTAATATCATTCATAACTAAATATTTTTGACAAACAATTTTGACTGATGGACGCCAACAAAATTTCTCATCAAAGTCATTAGTTTGCAAGTGGCGAAAAAATTCTCCATGATTTACTATAAATATTAATACAAGATGTGATAACTACACTTCAGTACTGCATATAAACTGAATGACTAGTGTCATACAAACTAGAGCTACATATTCTACTTTGTAGTGTTAGTGATAAGGGTTAAGACTTTCGAATGTTGTAATACAGACATAATGATTAGATTTAAATGCAGTACTGTCTGAGTTTTATTTAAAAAATTGTGGAATATACACATTGGGTCATAGGAGTTATTAAAAAGACAATTGCAGCGAAGAAAATTTTCTTTTCGACGAAGTCATCATCTAGGCTGTACATTCGTGTATTTATATCAAATGGATGGGAAACTTCCAGAATAATTTCCGGTTAAGGGTCAAATTAATAAAAATTACAATTAGGAATTAGAATGTCATAATAAACAGGGAGACGGATAAAACTCGAACAATAACTAAGAAGATTGACATTGTGCAATTGAGGGTTAGAAATGTAAAAATAACAAAATATACAGGATGTTTGGATAAAAAACTAATATGATGAATAATTGTTCATGCAATCATGGATTAAATATGTAGAAATAGTAAAATGACAAAATAAACAGGAAGAGTGGATGTGAAAATATGGTAGTGTAGACAGGGATTAAGAAAAACTTAAAATAACATGAATAAACAGGAAGTTTAGATAAGAAAGGCGATGAGATAGTCATTACTAAAAAATTTTTACTTGTTTATGATGGCCATGGCAGGGACAGGGGTTGGACGTAATTCTTTTGGATACAAAGCGTGGGTTTGAGCGAGCGAGCGCCTGGCTAGTAAAAGGAGAACGAAAATGAGTACACAGCTCAGTGACAGAACATCTGGTCAATTCAGGACATTTATCGCTATTTGAAAAATCCTTCAAAATAATCTACAAGATTCAATCAAACCTATCAAAGGGAGTCAAATCAAGACATCTGGGCATAGCTGAGGCGCTAGCTATCCAAAAGCTCAAACCCACGCTTTGTATCCAAAAGAATTACGTCCAACCCCTGTCCCTGCCATGGCCATCATAAACAAGTAAAAATTTTTTAGTAATGACTATCTCATCGCCTTTCTTATCTAAACTTCCTGTTTATTCATGTTATTTTAAGTTTTTCTTAATCCCTGTCTACACTACCATATTTTCACATCCACTCTTCCTGTTTATTTTGTCATTTTACTATTTCTACATATTGAATCCATGATTGCATGAACAATTATTCATCATATTAGTTTTTTTATCCAAACATCCTGTATATTTTGTTATTTTTACATTTCTAACCCTCAATTGCACAATGTCAATCTTCTTAGTTATTGTTCGAGTTTTATCCGTCTCCCTGTTTATTATGACATTCTAATTCCTAATTGTAATTTTTATTAATTTGACCCTTAACCGGAAATTATTCTGGAAGTTTCCCATCCATTTGATATAAATACACGAATGTACAGCCTAGATGATGACTTCGTCGAAAAGAAAATTTTCTTCGCTGCAATTATCCTTTTAAAAAATTGCATCGAAAAATTTAATTCTGAACTATATTTTTAACATTAGTTGTATGAAACATAAAGTTGTATGTCACTGGTTTATTAAAGTGTCCTTTGTTCGAGACAGTTGAAGCGCATTAACGCAGTAATCTATAAAATCACATTGTAAAGTGCCATTTATATAGTATATTATTTATTATTATTTCCTTTAGTTCCTAGAGGAACATAGGGCTTCAGCCATGCGTCTCCATTGCGTTCGGTTCTCAGCTAGAATTTTCACCTGGCTCCAAGTCTGCCCATACGCTTTCAATTCTTCGTCACATGATCTCCTCCAGGTCACCCTTGGACGACCAACTCGTCGCTTCCCTTTCGGGTTCCACTCGAAGGCTTGTCTAGTGATGTCACTTGCTGGTTTCCTCAGAGTGTGGCCAATCCATCTCCATTTCTTCCTGCCTATTTGTTTCACAATCGGTTCCTGGTTGGTTCGCTCAATGCCAGAGATCTCTGTTGCTGATCCTTTCCGGCCATCTGATCTTGAGTATTGAGCGAAGACATCTGTTAATGAAGGTCTGTAGCTTGT